AAGTTTGAACAAACAAATATTAAAAGAAATATATCTTTAAATCACTGAGAAGATCATTTTCCTTCTGACACCTGATATTTTTCTACATATCAACAATGTTCAATTCGTAAATGTTTAATCTACAGTAAAACCTACGATTGTAAACACTTTCTTATAGTGAACTATGAACGGTTTTTTGTTCTACATGTATTCGTATATATTCTTATCAATGCAAAAAAAAAAGAAATCAATCTCAATTTTCCAAACAAACTAAAATTGAAATATGCTACGTCCTGCTGACTTACACACAGATAATAGAAATACATTTGTCTATAGTCTTTCGAATCATGAATACTTTAAAAATATTCCAGCCGAATGTTCACATTAGACAATTTTAATTTAAGTTATCTTAAATTGATTCAAGTGACTTTTTCAACATGAAAAAAAAATAGATTGATCGCTACAACTGTTGCCAAGGAACTCTAGGAATGGAGTCCTACGTCTGTTATCGAAACGTACTCAATAAGTGTTGGCCTTCCTTCGTGCTAAGATCCCCAGGAGGCTGGGGAAGTCATAAAAATCTCGATTTAAACTTACACTAACTATTTTCTTCGAAAACATTTGATCTCAATCTACCGATAATTTTCTGATTCAGATTCATTATTATTTTATTTTTATTCTTTTACTTTTACTTTTAAAGGTTGTTATGGCTGTAGCACAATTATATTATTATGTAGCACCTCAAAGTGAAATTCAAATCGTTGCTAAATCACTTCTTCGTCTACTTCGTCATCATCGGTAATATTTTAACTTAGATTTATTTTTCCCAAAAAAAAACAAAAAAAAAGTAAAATCATTTTTCTTTCGTTTTTTTCATTATGTGTTATCTAGTGAAATTCAAACAATTATTCTAAAATCAATAGTATTCATAGCTGATAAACATAAACAAATATTTGAACCATATTTAAAATCATTTTATGTTCATTCAAATGATAGTAGTCTTGTTAAACGTTATAAACTTGAAATTCTTACTACATTAGCTAATGCTTCGAATATATCAACAATACTTCGAGAATTTCAAGTAATTAGAAATTTTTATTTCAATATTCAAAATTAAATTGTGATTGTTATTTGTAGACATATGTTTTAAGTTCAGATAAAGATTTTGCTGCTCATACTATTCATGCAATTGGACGATGTGCAAGTACAATATCTGATGTAACTGAAGCTTGTTTAAATGGTCTTGTTGCATTAATGTCAAAAAAAGATGAAACAATTGTTGCTGAAAGTGTTGTTGTTATTAAAAAATTATTACAAATCAATGTAAAAAATTTTTATTTAATAAAATAATAAAATCATGTGTTTTTTTTTGTTGTTCATTTTAGCCATCACAATATAACGAAATAATTAAACATATTGTTCGAATGGTTGATAAAGTTACTGTTCCAATAGCACGTGCTTCTATTTTATGGCTTATTGGTGAATATTCTGATCGTATTAGTAAATTAGCACCTGATGTATTAAGAAAAATGGCAAAATCATTTGTTGATGAAGTTTGTTATGAAGATTTTTCTTTTTTCTTAATTTAAATAAGTTCATATTTTTCTAGGAAACAATAGTTAAACATCAAATATTGAATTTAGCTGCTAAACTTTATGTTGTTAATGCTAAACAAACACATTTATTAGTACAATATGTATTTAATTTAGCTAAATATGATACTAATTATGATACTCGAGATAAAGCACGACTTCTTCGGTAAAATAAGAATTAATTTTCGATATATATGTAACTTTCATTTTTATATAGAGCATTATTAATTCAAACTGATAAATGTCCAACATTAAGTAAACATGCAAAAAAGATTCTATTAGCATCTAAACCAGCACCTATTCTTGAATCAATTATTCGAGGTTCTAAAAATTATTAGAATGAATAATCATTTTTATTAATATATATTGTTTTCTGTTTTTTTTGATATTTAGATCATGATCAATATACATTAGGTACTTTATCATTTGTCATTGGTCAAAAAGCAGTAGGTTATAAAGATTTACCCGATTTTCCATTGGAACCACCAGATCCAAGTGTTCGTAATGTTGAAATAGTAACTCCATTACCATCACAAAATGTTTCATCTAGAAAATCAAGTACAACTACAAGAATAACATCAAGAGAAAAAAAGAAAAGTGTTAATGATGAAAATTTCTATTCAGACGAAGAAGAAGAAGAAGAAGAAGAAGAAGAAGAAGAAGAAGAAGAAGAAACTTCAACTGAAGGACCTGATACAGACAATGAAGAAGAAGAGGATGAAGAAGATGAAAAAGAAAAAACAACACAAAATGACAATGATACAAATGAATATGAACAATTAGATGCACAATCAACAAATAATATTGAGCCCGAAGAAGAAGAAAAAGACGAAAGTAGTGGTAGTAGTGAAGAGGAAGAATCCGAACAAGAAGAAGAAGAAGAAGATGATGATGAAGAAAGTGAATCGGATGAATCAGCTGATGATGAAAAAGTAAAATCTTTATTTTACATAGAATATTCAAAAATATTCTTGATCTAACTTAAATAAAAAACATCTCGCTAGATTTTGAAAAAAACATGAACACATTGTAGATCGAATGATATACAGTAGAACTAAATCAATAAGAATTTCTCATCTAGACAAGATAACATATTCATGCTCTCTCGCAAATGCAAATGATCTATCTTAGATTATTTTGAATAGAACACACATCGAAATATTTTTAATAAAATAAACAACATTAAATATTCTTTCACCAGTAGCTAAAATATAATACTGTCCAAAGTTATACGAAACAGATAATTTTCATTTTTTTTTCTGCGATGCTGAGTATCTAACTAAAATGCAACTAGTAATGTTTTCTAAAAAACTGAACACGATAGTGTTCAGATCTGAGAAGATGTGGCGTACAAGCAGAAAAAAATTTAAATACCGTCATCGCGATTCAACTACCTTCCTCATAAAAGGTGCGTGAAGTACCTTAAAAAGCAATTTTTACGTCGGGAAAACGCCGAGAAGGTTTTCTCAAAATATTGCAACAAAAAAAAACATTGCATGTTTCCCAATTGCATAAGTTGCTTTTTTATCATGCAGCTTCCATGGTTGAACGGCTACATTGTGATATACAACACCTGCTCTTGTGGTTAGTTAGTGTGTATGGGAAACTCAAGTAAATCAACACAAGAACTCTTTGTCAGACCAGCCTTCTTGCTCAGGGCTATAGCTAGCCAAAGACATCGGGTTGTTGAATCTGCCACTAGGCAGAGGTTTCTTTTTCATGCATCTTGTATGATAAAAATAGCTGATTTTTATGTTGTCTGAAGGAACGAGAACTGCGATTAGGGCATTTAAACACGTTTTCAGAAATTCTTATCTGTTTGAGTAAGGTATTCGATTTTAACAGTACTATCTGAAAGAATGCAACATTCTGAACAAAATGAGGGATTGTCGTAAAAAATGCAGTGATCTCTCATTTTGTGCTCTTTCACATAGTGCTGTTAAAAGTGAATACCTCTCACGTCTTCTAGGACTTGAAAACTGTCATGTTCAACTTTTTTAAGAAAAACTCTCTCATAAAGTCCATCTATCAAATCTTAATGTTTAGTGCATCTGATATGAACAGTATTTAAATATGTAAAATGTAAAGTGCTGTTCATGATTTCTTAATTAGCTAAATTGATTATACATATATATATCTTTTTGAAACTTTCTTTGTATATATTTTAAGTGTAATTATAAAATTTTATTTTCAGCTAACACCAAATCAATCATCAATTGTTGCTAAACCATCATCTACTCTAACTGTTAGTGATTATACCATTCCTGCAACAGAAAAATCTCTTTTAGAAATGGATTGTAAGCCAATAAATATCTCTTTCAAAAAAGGATTATTTCAATCTTATATTTAGTGGAAGCTTTCCTTGGTGCACCTTCAACATCAACAAATGTTCAAGTGGCACCAGTAAAAAATAATATTTTTGATGATTTACATGGATTAGAATCTTTAACTGTATGATTTTTTGAAATTTCCATACATTTAAATTTTTAAAAAATTTTCTTTTTTTTTTGTTTTTGGTAGTCAACATCATCAAATCTTGTTTATACAAAACAATATGATTGTTTAAATCGTATTACTGGTCAAGGTTTACAAATTCAATATCGTTTTCCACGTACACCATTTCAACAATCATCAAATATGGTACATGTTGAATTAATATTTACAAATACAACAACAAATAAAGATATTCATTCAATAAAATTTTACAAATCAGTTTGTTACATTTTCTTTTGTTGTTGTTTTTTTTTTATTTTTCGAATATATTTTTTTAATAATAGAAATCAAATATAAATATTCAAGGATTTAATCAAATTGATCTATTACCAAGTGGTGTATCAATTGTAACATCAATTGGTATTGATTTTAATGATAAAACTCAACCGGCATCATTCGATATATTATATGATAATAATTTAATACCAACATCATTAACAATATTATGTCATGTTGGAGAACTTATTGAACAAAAATTTTTAAATGATCAACAATTTAATCAAAATTTAGGTAAATAAAAAAAAAAGCCAATTAGATAATATTCATTGTGTGAAATTTTTAGCTCGTCTTCGTGGTATGAACGAAATTATGGATAGTGTAAATGTTGATGAAGTGCAAATATCAAAATTAAATTTTAATACAATTCAAACTAAAATACTTCAATGTGCAAATATGATTTCAGTACCATCGACTTCAGGAGATTCGACATTATTTCGGTGAGAAAATATTTTTCTATATTCCAGAAGTTCTTTGATGAATTTAATTTAAAGTACTGGAAAAAAAGTTTCGAAACAACGATTTTTTTGGTTTTTTTCATAATGTTAAGCATGTAGCTCCAATACACTTTATAGCAAGATTTTACAGATGAATAATGATGGCAACGCTCCTGAAAAACCGAACACGGTGTTTTTCAGGTTCTAGAAGATTTTTCCAGAGCTATTTTTGAACGGTGCCATCTTAGAGAGCACAAAATTCCAAGCAAAATGAGGAGTCGCCAAGTTTTCTACGAGCTTCTCATAAAAGTTACAAGCATCACAAAAATCATAAAAAAGGCGTTTTTAGTCGATTGTAAAAAAAAATTCGGTTTTACATGATTTTTGTGATGCTTGTAACTTTTTATGAGAAGTTCGTAGAAAACTTGGCGATCCCTCATTTTGCTCAGAATTTTGTGCTCTTTAAGATGACACCATTTAAAAATAGCTCAAGCAAAGTCTTGTAGAACCTGAAAAATACCCCGTGTTCGGTTTTTTAAGAGCCTTGCCATCATTATTCATCTTGCTATAAAGTATATTGGATAGAAAACTCCATTGGCTGTTAAAATCACTATTTGAATTGGAGCTACATGCTTAACATTATGAAAAAAACCGTTTTTTCTTCTCTAATCTATTAAAGCTTCGAAGTATTCTCTATTGACTAGACATATTTCACGAATTTATATCCATTATTTTTTTTAAATAGTTTTTCATAGGAACATTGTAGAAACCTGCAGTTTTCATCATTCAATAGATTTCCCAAAAAAACGATATTCTAAAGTCATTTCTCTTTCGGTTCGCTCAAACTCGAGCTCTTTAAACATATTCGATTCGGGAGTTACAAGGAGTTTTTCTAGGAGTCCTAATTTCAACAAAGTGATTTGGAAAGGTTATAATCGAGGCTAGCTTATCATGCTGAGTTAGAGGATAATGTTTATTTTTAGTTTCAAGGCGAACTACCATCAATTTTCAACATTTTCTGAAGTGCTAAAAATTTCTCCGTTACATACCGTAAAAATCGAAAAATTTTCAGAATTGCTTTGAAACTGAAAAAAAAACATTATCCTCTAACTCAGCATGATGAGCTAGACTCTTTTATGGTCTTTCAAGGAAACTTTACTGAAATCAGATCTTCCAGTAGTATGTATATGCAGCTATATGATAGTTATTTTCAAACTTCATTAGAGAATTAAATATCACATTTAGTACTCTTTCAATATGTATCAATATTCTTTTCTAATTGTGTTAACTTAAAACAAAGAAATAGAATTAATATAATCATAATACCAGGAAAAATAGACCCATTATTATTATATTTTAAACAGTTCGCATAAAAATATTTTAGAAAAAATGTGCCATTAAAAAATATTGTCGCCTTCTTAAAGAAGAATAATGTAATTTTCATATATTTTTCACTTTTATCAGACGACTTATTTGATAATTGATCATTTTTCTATTTGTTCTGATTTTGTTCATTTTCATTCAAACTTTGGTCAAATGAAGTTTCAAGAATTTTAAGATTTCTCAAAAACATAAATTGATCAATTTTTTTCATTTCTAATCTTGTTCGTTTATCTGTTATATTACCTCTTGTCGCTTCGTACGAGAAGACCCAATGTTTTCTATTGTATCCAACCGCAAAAGTTCTTCAAAGGTTCGTCTATTGTGTTTCTTTCATTTTTACAGTTTTTAAATAGAAAGGTTCTTCAGAAAGTCAAAGCGATTTTGAGAAGGAATTTTTAAGATTTTAAAAGTCTAGATAAAATGTTGAAAACACTGTGTTAAAGTTTTCAGCTCAAAATTCTGAAAACTAGGCATATTAATTAATTGAATGAGATCTTATGTTACATCTCGCATATATTTTCTCCAAGGAAATCTTCTATTATAGAAAGTCTTCCAATATAAGAGTTTTCTATTGGAAGAGAAGAGTATGCTATTTTATAGAGACTGGGGTGACCACCGTTACTCACGGTCACGATGGCAACGATCATTACCGTGACCCAAAAATATTGGTCACACCGATACCTACTGAAAAGTCGTCTATGAAGTTATTTGTAAAGCAGAGAATTATTTCTTTCAAATTTAGAGTCTTTATTTAACATATAGAGACACGAGAAAGAATTAGATCTTATATATATTTAATAGTCTAATTTCTGATAAATGTCTCTTAAAATAAATTTAATACTCATTTACACTTTCTTTTCCAATATAAAAGTCTTTATCTGTGAAAGGTCTTAGCAATGAGTACATTATTTTTTTTGTTTGTTTTAGATTTTCTGGACAAACAATATCAAGTAAATCACTTGTACTTCTAACAATACAATTAAATATGACTCAATCAAAAGTTCATTTAACAATTAATTCGGATCAAATTGTTCTTGCTACAATGTTATTAAAAGAAATAAAACAAACATTTCAATCAATATTATAATATATATATATGTGTTTTGATAGTATTTCTATTATTTTAATCTTTATCTGTATGTCTATTATCTATTTATTAGTGCAATTGAATTCATTTTATTCTTGCTCATATAAATATATATTTTCTAGTATCCAACAATAAATCAGATCTTATCAAAATGATGAAGAAAAAAAAATCAAATCATTTTTACAAAATAATTCAAGATCAATTAGTTTTCTCAATTTGATCTGACGTGACATATATTGAGAATTTATAAATACCATTATATTGTATCATATATTCTAAAGTCTAGAGAAATAACAAAGCAATGTTTGATTCAATGTGTAAGTGTCAAAGTAGCGGCGTACCTCTCTACTATGTGTCTGTGCTCGTATTCATCCCTTCGGAAGAGAAAATCTGGATAAATGATTTTATCACAATCGAAACTTAATAATTCAACAATTTTAAATATCATTGAAAATGCTAATAGAGATTTTGAGAAAATTTATGTATAGACAATTTTTTCATTTCGTATTAAAATAAATTTACTAACTTTATTTATTTGATACTTGAATTCGATAATAAATTTATTCATTTTAATATGTTAATTTGCATTTTATTTCATTTCAACCATTTATTAAAATATATTGTAATTGATATTGATTATTTAGCAATAAAATTTGCATTAATTATAGTTAGAAACTTACTATAATTGCTATGTTTATATATGTATATGATAAGAAATTTCAATGGTAAATAGATTATCAGCACAAAAGACTGTTGAATCACTTATCGATGTCTTGTTTGTAAATAAAATTTTTAATTTTATTACGTATTTTTCGATTTTGTCTAAATAAGCTCGATATTACATACAACAAACAAAATTTTTGAATAAATGTCAAATCGAGTTAGATGCTCTTTCTGGTTGAGGAAAAAATTCAATAGTCTAATATAGAATCTTTGTATTGTAGCAAAACATCTAACAGAATTCTTTTAACTAATACCTCCTATAAAGAAAGACCTTTTTATATTTTTCTCAAGCTTCTATGAATCAGCATTCTATTTTGAATCGTAGTTTTTTTTTTTATCAAAATATCTCGATTGCATAATTGATTTCATCTTAAAAATGAGACCATTTTTTTTTTAAAAAGTGGTAGTCCCGTTAACGTTAAAATGAACATTCAAGGTGACAGATTTGATCGGTTGAATGAATTGCATAACAGTATTTCTGATTTGTTTAGACTGATAAAAAAAATTATTTTGCATTATTTGTGAATCTAGAATAGACTAGTTTCATTATTGTTTAATTAACCACTTCATTTTTTAGTCTTTCAAATATTAAACAAAAAAAAAAAATTAAAATTAATTCATTATTTTTCTACTAGAAGTAATTTCTTACATCAAAACTTATTCTTTCTCATGTCAATCCACATCTCATTTACTCATCCATTCTCTAATCATCATCAAAAAGAAATCTATCTTCATCAATATAAATAATGAAAGACCGAACGATAGAAATAATACTTTTAGCAACTAATAAAGAACAGAAAATGGAAATGTCATGATGACCATTGTTGAATACAATAGAAAATTATCTATCATTTGAAAATGATTTACTACTTATACAATAGAATCTCTTTTATATCGGAAAATTCTTTTTTTTTTTTTTTTCTTAATATATATAAACATATATATATGTATCTTTTTTTCTTTTATAACAATTACAAAAGATATAAACAAATAGGCAACAAGTGTGCATAGAAAAAGACAACAATTCATTCGATTGTAATATTTTAATACAAATCATCACTATTTGGTGTTGCAGTTGATGAAAAACCGTTGCTGTTTATATTATTATTACTGAGCAACGAATGTGTGATTGTACTTGCAGTATGAGGATTATTTAAAAGTGATATATTTCCTGTATGATGATATGGTGGAGGCGTTACAAATGTTTGTTGTATTGGTACTGTTGTTGCTGCTGCTGTAGCTGCAGCTGTAGCACGTCCTGCTTTTGCACCACGTTTACTTGTAGTACCACGTTTAGTTGCTGGACTATTATTAATATTTGTTGTTGATTTAAGTGGATTATCTTTTTCACAAAATGGTTGTCCATTAAAAAGAACATAACGATCACCTTTAACTAAAGGTATATGACATTTAACACAAGTAAAACAAGATAGATGATAAACATAATTTGGACTAACACGCATTATTTGTTCATTTGTTCCAATCACTTGACTACATAATGAGCATGGACGACTACCATATCTTCTATAATTAAACAAAAAAAAAAAAAAAAAAACAAATGCCAATAATTTAATTTATTTCGAATAGATGAAGAAATAATAAGTTTTCATTTAATTAAAAAAAAAGAAGAAATTATTCTTTGTTATTCAAGGTTAAATGAGAAAAAAAATGAAGCCCCTTGCTTTTTCTTTAAGAAAAAAAATTCTTACTTTATATAATCAGATTTGCAAAGAAGTGCATTATCTTTTGTATAAAATGTTGAAGATATATCAGCTAAAACTACATCACAACATTGACAACGTAAACATTGCATATGCCAATAACTTCCACGAGATAAACGATCTTGTGTACGAAGAAAATAACGTTCATGTATTGGTAGTGTACAATTTGAACATATATATACATTATTATTCGTTGTATTTGATTGATTTGAATCGTAACGTGGTGCAATAGGTACCATTTTTGTTTGTGTTGATGGTGGTGGTTGTTGTTGTTGTTGTTGTTGATCAAATACAAGTGGTTGTGATTCGAGTTTAGGTTGCATTAATAGAACTGAACCACTATTATTGCCTAGAAAAAAAAAAAAGAATGACAAGAGGGTAATTAATATTCATGTACGTCGTTCTTTTCCTATTACTAATACATCTCGATTTCAATTTATTTTCCAATTATGATATGATGATCGATGATGATTGTGCGTGTATATGAATAAGATGAGATTCTCTCTTTCTACTTGACACATGAGGGTAAGAAAAAGAAGGAAAAAAAAGCTTAATAAATGTGATCAGAAGAAAACAAAAAAAAAAGTCATTAACAGAATGCTAATAGTTATACAAGATGAACGAAACAACAATCGAAATAATAACATCATCATAAATTGTATCAAATAGTAAAAAAAAATAGTATTTACTATCGACTCATTGTCTGGCCAATTACTCTAATTACACTTGCTCTTCGTTGTTAGTACGACAGCAGGTGCGAAACAAAATAATAACACAAAAAAAAAAAGAAGTTCGCGACTATATACAGTTAACAATTCTAAAGATAATGATTGGCATGAATGTTGTTTTACAAAGTTAAATAAAATATTTTTCATTGTATTTATTAAAAAACAAAAAAAAAGAAATGAAATTTGCCTGAAAACAATCAAGTATAATGAATAGCATAGAAAAAATATAAAATATTAATTAATAAATGATAATGAAAGAAAAACTTTCTATATTAAAATAAAACAAGTGAGCATTATATTTTTATTCCTTTTTTTCTATATATATATAGAAAAATAAATTAAATTTCAATTGCTTTCTTATAATCAATTTTTCTGTTATTATAACATTTTTTTTCTTCTTTTTTTTTTTTTGCGATCTACCTGTATAAATCATAAAATGAAAAATGGAATAATAATCGTCGATAATACTTCCTATGATGTTGATGCCAAAAAGATGAATATTATTGTTGATATATGTCGTCCAGTACTTATATATCCATTCAGCAGAATATTCCGTACATATAATGTTCTATCAGGCAAACTTGCGCGTCTCTCGTCTCGTCTCGTTTGTGCACAGAAACAAACTTGGTCTCGTTTTTTCCTTCTCCCTCTCTCTTCTCTTTGCCTTCTTCTCTTTTCTATTTTCTTCATCATCATCATACAAGCACTAACTAACATCACAATATGATTCTCTTCTCTCTCTCTCTCTATTCTCTATTATATTACAAATAGACGTTTGTCAATTAATGAATTGAAGAAAGAGAGAAGATATATGTTGGCTTCAAGTTCTTATATATACAATCGACTGAGAGCAAAAATTTATTAAAAAGAAAAAAAAAAAAAAATTTAAATTCAAATGAGGAAAAAAAAATACAAACTGGTGCTTCACATTCTCGTTCCTTTTTTAATGACAATTCAAATTAGTTAAACATATGTAATGTCTATATATAGAACATCAAATGAATAGATATATATAAGATCATTAGTCGTAAATAAAAGAATTCTTAATTCAAAAAATTCCCTACTATTGTATGACTGTTAAGCCAAGTTTATTCTATTTTTTTAATCATCGAAATTGATTTGTCAAGTATGCAATCTTATCATTTTCTTTATTTCTTCTATTCTCAATTCTCATAGTCAATAACTAACATCAACAACTGCTCATTGTCTTTTTTTTTTTTTGTTTAATTGAAAATATAATGTTTTTCGTCGTTTGTCATATAGAAAGATTGTGTAGAATTGATTATCATTATTAAAAAAAAATGTTCAAATTACTAATAGATGAATGAATAAAAGCATTCAAAAAAGAAAATTGACAGAGAAAAAGACAAAAATAAAACTTGACATATTGAATGTCAAGAGCATTAGCTTTTCTAATGAGCTAAAAGCGATTATCGATTTTAACAGATCGAAAAAAAAAAAAGCTTTTTACTTAATCAATTTTATATAGGATTTCTTAGGCTCACCTGTTGCAGAAGCAACAGCGCGTCGACGCGTGCTTCGACTTGCTCTCACCATGTATGGATATCTTTTCGTCGTTGACGCAGCGTTTAGCGGTGTGTTCTTTTTTTTTTTTTTGAAAAGAAATGAATCTAACTGTGTATGTGTGCGTACGTGTGTTACAAAAAAAAAGACGTGGATGTGGCGTGTGTTCTGTTCTTCTTATACATACATACGATAGGACACGAAAAAAAAAAAAGAAAAAAAAAAGAAGCAAATTGCTAAATGATGACGAAGAGAACGATGAAAAAAATCTCTATTCACAATCACCTCTAACTGAATGAGCTAA